TTCATTTACCTCCATCTCTTTTGCTGTCCTTCCTGGAGGGCAGCTTTCCATGGGAAACTTGTCCTTCCAGGCACGAATCCGTGCTTTAAAGACTGGCATTTGACAGAAGATCTCTATGAAATATTCAGGTATTTGGTAAGCAATTGACTGCAGGCAAAATAAATAATTTAGATAGAATTAAACCTGAAAATAAATACTAGTTGAGCAAAACTAACATGCTGACAGTGCTGGTAACTGGGAGTTCCAACATAATCTACCCTGTCTGCACTCTGTGACCTCCTTATCCATGGCCCAGCTTAGAGATTGGTTCCTGTGGGCTGGGGGAGCTGGGCTTGCACTTGGGACACAAAACCTGGGCAGGTGGAGCTCAGGAATTCCACCCTCAGCCCTGCAGAACTCAAGTCCTAAATCTCAGAGCTTGGGAGAGTTTCTCAAGCCCAGCAGCCTCCCCTGCCAGTGTTGAAGCAGCCATGAATCAGCAGCAGATCTCTCCCCCTGATGCAAATGCTGGTGTGCACAAATCATCCTTTGCCTGCTTTAGGAGATCCATTATCAGATTTAAACAAACATAAATTTTCAGACACATTTTAAAAATTGCTCTGGGGACAGTGTCAGAAAAATACAGTGTAATAGTTCATCTTATCTTGTCTTCAGCATCAGTGAATACTTGCTGCTATCCACTTTGCCACAAATTTTACCAAATAATTATCATTATTTAAGCCATTCATGTAATTTCAAGGGGAAATGGCTCTTTTGAAGGAGAGATGAATTAAATACCTGAGTCTTACTGAAAAGCTATAAAATCTTTAATTAGAGATTAGCAATGACAACAGTTACAGTCCATTGTACATAATCCCCAGCTCTTGGTAATGGTGGACATACCATTTATTTCATTTTTTCAATTTTATCTAGATTTGAGGATCCATGCTTGGTAGAGTTGTCCATGATAGAAATGATATGTACAAATATATATATTTGAAATTACAATTTTTTTAATGAGCACTCTGTATTTTTAGAGAATTCTACATCTTGAGAGCATTCTGCTTTTTTCTAAAAGCACTTAAAAAGCATGTGGCAGAATTATCTGCATTTTTTGGTGCCATGCATGAGCTAAGTGTCCCTGCTGCACCAGACTCTCACTAAAGCCTCTGGCTAAATCCTGGCTCTGGGCAATAGAGAACCAGCCAGCACTGAAACACCAACTCCACAACTGCAATCTCTCTGATCTTCTGTTATTTTATTATTTTTAACTTCCTCTATCCCAAGGCTGCTTCTGCTCTGTTCTCCTCAAGAGAAGTGACAAGAGTGCAGCTGCAGGCTGTGAGGCAAAGTCTGTGAGAGTTGTGCTCTACAGACTGGCACACAGCACAGGGCAAAAATTAATGCACAATACCTCTGGTATATTTTGTCTATAGGCAAAATCACCTCTACATAATCATTTATGTGTGATATTTGACTTCCTGAAACTGTGAAGAACCTTTTAACATTACAGTGCTCTACAGTAAACTGCTGTTATAGTTATGCTTTGAAGACTGATGGTTAAACACATCTTTACAAACGTTTCCAAGATTTCTACTGGGATCACTCATGTTTGAAGTAGGTTTTGCACCTTGGAGTACAACATTTATTAATTTCTTCTGTGCTAAAGAAAGCAAATTATTATTTGATTCCTTGGTCTTAAGTGAATCAGCCTACAACAGGATAGGCAGCAAATTTGGAGAATGCAAACAAATTGCTCAAGTCAAAAAATACCCCAGCGATCATTTAATTACTGCTGGCACGTTTTCTACTGCAATGCTCTGCAGGCAATGAAATGCTGTAGTGATGGGACTGCCAGAGTGATGGAAGGGGATGTGGGGTGAGCTGTCCCTGGGGCTGTGCTGCCCCGTGCCCATCTCTGCAGGTGCTGGGTAAGAGAACTCTGGGGGTGTTTGTGGGGCTCTGGCCAGCGGAGCCACAGGGCCCGGCACAGCTCAGCTGCAGCCCCAGGCTGACCCTGCCAGCCCTGAGGATCTCAGCTGGCACCCAGGCAGGGTGAGGGAAGGTCAGGGGTCTGGGGACACTCCCTGCCCTGCCAGGGCAGCAGCAGGGCTGGATGGAGCTCTCTGCTGGGGCAGGTGTGACCCACAAGGAGCTGCTTGATCCCAAAGGGGAGTTACCAACCCAACAGCCACCCTGCTCTGCTTGCTCGTGGGGAGAGAGCTTGTAGTCTGGTGCTGGCATACACTGAACTTAATTTTTAAAAAGAAATAAAATAATCATGACCATGCAATTTTCTAGCTAGCAATTCTTAAGCTTCACTGAGGAAGTCCTCATGAGAGGTTACCAAAGCTGAACTGCTTCTGCTTCCTGGCTGTGATTATCAAGAATTTTATATCTGTGCTGGGATTTCTGGGTGCAAAGGAGGAGCTTTTGTGCCAACTTCCATTGTCTGTATCCCACTCCTGTGTTTATCAGTCGCTGATTTGCCAATGCAGCAGATTTCTGAAGGGAAACATGTACAAACAGGAGGAGGGGTGGAGGTGGGACCAGGAAAACAACGAGGGGAGAAAGAGGGGCTCATTACAATTGGTGGAAAGGAAATTTATGCACATTTGGAATGTGCAAATCATTACAGTCTTGCCCAAACATTAAGGATCAAAGAACTATGCAAGATTTTGCTCTCTGATCTGTTTCTGAGATTCATCAGAATAATGCCAGAAAAGCGATTTCTTCTTCTCAGCCTTTATCTGTTACAGAATCTGTACACAGCCATAGAAATATTCCTGTTTTCCCACTACCATTTTAAAATGGATTGGTAAGATTCTGTTACCTTGAATTTCCACTTTATGGAGGAGTGTTCCATGTGCAGTTCTGTGTAATGGCTCCTCTGAAGACTGTGTGAAGTTATTTTGTTGTGTACTCATCAGCAGGGCTAACAGATGACTTCTAGTCATGGGGTAAGGATAGAGAAATCTGCTGAATGGAGATAAAGAGCAGAATTTGGGTGATATTTAGAGCATTTTAATGGGCTCAAGTTTGCCATGAAAAAGAGGAAGCTTTTTAGATGCTTCTCCACCAGACTGTGCTTGTATTTCAGGTCCTTATGAGAAGGATTCACCTCCTAGTATTAGTTCCTTCTGTTTGGAGAGGACAAACTGTGGCTGTTCCAAGGGACAGGTGCCTGTTGAGGGCATCTCAGTATCTAAAATCCTCTCCCAAGTGCAGAAGGAGCCGAGCAGCTCCTTTGGTGCCTCTCTCTGTGGCATTCCATGATTGGTGTCAAGTGGGGCAGCTGAGATTCTCTTTTACATTTCTCCCTGCTGGAGAGAGCCTGGGTCCTGGCCAGTGCATGGCAGCATTGCAGCAAGGAAGGCAATCCTCTCTCTCTTCTAATTAGGTGGATTGCTGTGCTCTAACATCTGGAAAACCTGGGGCTAAATGGGACAGAGCACAGGGCAGGAGGGGAGAGGTGTGTATATATATAAATATGTGTGTGTATATTCACATTCTGATGCAAAATGAGAGGCTGCTTAGGTTATCAGGCAGAGCCCAGCGAGTTTGCCAGACAGAATGTAATTAGGCATCTGTGCAAGTGGACGTGTTCCTAAATGCTGGATAAATACAGCTTTATTCCCAGGTATAAATCAGACATAATATTGCAGTAGAATCCCAGTGGGTTCCTGTCACTGGCTGAAATCTCGGATATGACAGGTCTTTTAGAGGGATTCTGCTGCTTTCCAGGTGCAATTGCCATTGCAGAGATTGGTACTGTCTAAACTGTGTGGTGTTGTGTAGGGGCTCTGCAGATATGGCAGTAAGTACTTCTGCTTCTGAAGACAAGTAAAATTCCCAAGTACAATATTTAAAAAAAAATTATTGCAATTTATATGCATTTATATTTATTGTAATTTATCAAAGCCATACTTCCCCATAGAGGGCTGAAACTGCAGAAGAATTCTTTTGTAAGTAACTACATCAAAGTACTTCTGGAGAATTTCTTCCATGGTTTTGGTTCCCCTAAGCCTTGACAGAATAAAGTGACTCAGAACTGCACTTTGTTGGAGTACCTGAAAGTTTAATTTGAGCAGGCATCTCTGGTTCAGCTGTCCATTAGGCTTGCAGAGGAGAGTGCTCCACTCAGCTTCTATCTGACAAGCGCCTCATTTGTATGTTAATGTTGAGTTGTGATTTCCAGGGAAGGCATTCAGCGTGTTGTAAAGGGCCTTACTGGCAGATTGCAGCTAAATTGATGCTCGACTCACTAAATATTTACCCTACACATCCCACTTAATATGTCCAAAACCAGGCATACTGTGAAATCCTGAAACCTGATTCTGTGCTTATGAAAGTCAGGAAGCTGGTAATGTCAGTGTGGAGCCAGGCAGAGCCCTGGTGCTGCCAGCACAGCCCCAGCCTCTCCCTGCAACCTTCCCAATCCCAGTCCCATTCCCAGTCCCATTCCCAATCCCATTCCCAGTCCCAATCCCAGTCCCGTTCCCAGTCCCATTCCCAGTCCCATTCCCAATCCCAGTCCCATTCCCAGTCCCATTCCCATTCCCAGTCCCATTCCCAGTCCCATTCCCAGTCCCATTCCCAATCCCAGTCCCATTCCCAATCCCATTCCCAGTCCCAATCCCAGTCCCGTTCCCAGTCCCATTCCCAGTCCCATTCCCATTCTGTGCTGTTGCTCCTGCCTGGGGCTCACCCCGCTCCGGCTCCTCTGGCTGTTCCTCAGTGCCAGGACAGCGCTGCCCCCGTCTCTCCCACCCACAGTTCCCACAGCCCTGCTGCCCCTCCTTCTCCAGGGCTGCTGGGGTCCCTAGAGGACACATCCTGACACAGCTGAGGAGCGCTGTGGCCCCACCAGCTCCTTGCCACGTGGTAACCACTGGGAGAAATGTTTGGTGTGGGACAGCCCTAGCAATGCCTTTGAGACACCCTGAATGTGCTACAGCTGGGCCAGTGGTGAGGGCAGGGTTGGAGACGTCCCAGCTCACCCGTTTGTTTTTATTCCCAAGCTTGTTCTCCCAACGAGTTCCAGTGCAGTAACAAGTCGTGCATCTCCATCATCTTTGTGTGCGACGGCGACAACGACTGCGGGGACGGCAGCGACGAAAGGAAGTGCTCCCCCCTGACCTGCAACCCCAACGAGTTCCAGTGCAACAACAGCGTGTGCATCCCGGAGCTGTGGGTGTGTGACAACCAGCCCGACTGCGAGGACCAGTCCGACGAGTCCATGGAGAAGTGCGGCTACGACGCCAAGGCCCTGAACACGTGCGCGGCACACGAGTTCCAGTGCGGCAACGGGGAGTGCATCCACCTCAACTGGAAGTGTGACGGTGACGAGGACTGCAAGGACAAGTCTGATGAGCAGGACTGCCGTGAGTGTCTGCAGGGCCTGGGCTCTCTGGGCTGGGGGAAGGGCCAGGAGGCTGCCTGAGCTCTGTCTGAAGGCAAGGCTTTGATGTCCGAGCAGCAGCTGTGCCACACAAGGAGCCCTTGCATCCTACATGACACGGCTGGGTGCCCAGCCCAACAGGGTCAGGTGTATTCCACACTCCTTTTGTGCCTTTTCCTTGAGAATCCAGAGAGGAGGTGTAAGAGCTGTTGGATGGTACCGTGCCTCAGAAGGGTTCTGTTTCACTAGAAAGACAAGGAGTGAAAAGTGGAAAAAATGTTCAAAGCCCTCAGGCTGCATGGTGGGGTCAGAGCCTGGAGGTTAGAAGCTGCAATGCTAAAGGGAATATATGATCAGCAGAAAAAAATAATTCATTTTCTGCCTCTGAAGTTGGAGTATACTGAACAAGGCAGTCAAGAGAAGTACCTCTGAAGAATCCAGTTTGAAATGCTTTTTGAGCTTAGCTTGATAAAGGCAGAGAGCTAATAAATAATGGATTTCTTTTCAGCTGGCTTTATGCATGTAACAAGCTGGTGTTGGTATGTGTGGTATTTTGAATGTTTCATCCATTTTTAGCCACTAAACTGTTCAAGCTGGTCACTTACCTGAGGAGGGAGGGAGAAGAAAACAAGAGCAAAATGTTTTGCTAGAATATTCATATGACAAGATTGAAATTAAATATTTACATAGCTGTTTATATTTAGCAGCTCTGACATTGGGCCACCTCTGGGGAGGAAGGCAGCAACCAGCTGCAAACCCAGGGATTTTTGCAAGGTCTCTAAGAAAATGTCTCACTTCTGCCAGCACCATCTTTTCATACCCATCACAGCACCAAGGCCAGGCTGGTGAGCAGCAGTGTGGGAGAGCCCTTCAAGGAGCTGGGGATCAGACTTCCCTCCAGGCAGAGAAGCAGGTGTAAATCCAGTGGCTTCTTTAACAAGAGAAGGATGTGGTGAATCCCAGACAGCACTGTTTGCACTGCAGGAGAGCAGAGTCACGAGCCACAGGTTACCCTGGAGCTGCTGTGCCTTTAAAATTGCCAAGGACTCTTTTAAGCGAGGCAAGAGCTGAATAGAAGAAGCCAAAAATGTTTTGTTAGGAAGAAAGCAGCTCTGGCTGCTGGGTACAAGGCTGTCAGCTCCACCCAAGGAGGGGTGGATTAGGTAGGCTGTCTTTTCCTTCATCTCCAAGAAGGTGCTGAAGTTGCTGACAGAGCTCTTGGGCAGCAGGTACCCAGGCAGTACTGCCAGGCTCTGAAGGACCACGGGGACTGTGGAGTCAGGAGACAGAGTTGGTTCCTGGCTGTGTTTCAGGAAGGCCATCAGAAGCACAGCTGCTGGAGATGGGCACTGCTGCCTGGCTGGTTTGGTGCCTGTTTCCATCCTGAGCCCTCCCGTGGGCAGTCCTGTACCTGTGTCCCCTCCACATCAGGAGACAGTGGCAAGGGCTGTGCTACAAACAAGGGTGCAGAACTGGTGTCTGGTACAGGGGACTCCAGCAGAACTGATCTCTGTCCCATGGGATGCATTCCCTGCAGTGACAGCAACCTGAGAGGATGGCTGAGATGGGACAGCTCAGGAGAGGGCAAGGGGAGCTCCCTTCTGTTGCCAAGTGCAGAAAGAGAGGAGCAGCTCATTGATGGGGCTTTCTGATTAAATGTCTCTTAAATTTCAACCCCTCTTCAACATGAAATGTTTTAAGTCTTTTACAGGCCCCATTTATTTTGACACTCTGCGCTGGGTGAGAGGAGTGGGGCTGTGCCCATGTACCTTCCTGAGCAGAGGGCCCACTGCTCCCCAGCTTCTTTCCCTGGTGTGACAGGCACCAGCCATGTCCAGCCTTGCCAGACTGCTGGGCAGTGAGAGCACAGCTCCAGCAGCCTCCCTGAGCTGCAGAGCAGCCTCAGCCAGCAGCACTTGCAGAGGCAGCTCCCAGGACACAGCTGGACACCGCTGCAGCACAGCACGGTGCTGACAACCAGTGGAGAGAGGGGGAAATGTGGCAGAAGTGACTTGAGAGAATTCTGAGCGGTGGAGATTTAGCACAACGAGGGTCGCTTTCCAGAAAGTCTCAGTCCAACACAATGTGCAGTTTGTCTAGCTGGGAGAAACAAGGATGTGAGCTGATTCTGCTGCCTTCAGTCCTCTGGACTGGGAGACAGAGGGATTCCAAGCCCCATTGTTTGAGCTGCCTCTGGTTCTGGTGGCAGCCCAGTGCCACAGCAGTGAGCCCACAGCCATCCACACTGCATGGATGGGGTTCTCTGAGGCAGCAACCACGAGAGGCCTTGCAGCACTGAGTGCACATCAGTGCAGCTGATGTGTTGGCTGGGTCAGAGCCAAAATTCACGTTGCTTCCCCCTCCTAAATGCAGCTGTTGCTGGGGTGCACCTGCCTGCAGGAAGGGACATTTGGGAGCTCTTGAAACTCAGCCTTGCTGCTCATCTGTTGGACTGAGGAGTTTAGGGACCTTTCTGATTATTTTTCTCTGCAGAAATTCTCTGTTTGAGATCAGAATCGTGGGACATGCAGAGAGTTACAGGTGTGTGACACAGCTCTGTCCCCTCAGCAACAGGGATGGCACATGGGCCCCTTGGCTGGGCTTGATTAAAACTGCAGATCCCACCACTACATCTTCTCTTGCAAAGGGGGATCATATGGGGTTTGTGCAGTATAAACAGAGGGATGGGAACTAATGCTTTAAAAAAAAGTCATGAGGCCATCAACCATCATTTGTTATAAGCATTTTGGATTGGTAAATGAGTAGAGTAGAAATGAAGGGTGACAATTGGTGAACAGGTTTTGGCAGCGAGACAGCAAATAAATGGGAAGGAATGAGTCATTTCAGGAAAGCTGTGTGAGAACATTGGGTGGCTGGGGTTTTTTCCATAGCATATATATTCAAATATGTATATATGTATATTTATAAAATGAACATTAGGTTAGATTTATTAGTCTCCAAATCTGGAATGGTTATATTTTTAAATGTCCTTTGCAACTTGCATTAAGGCATCCAGGAGGGAGAATAAATAATGCTTACAACTGACAGCAAGAAAACAGAGCCCTTGAGACCTGACCTCACACTTTCCTGCCTCTGTCTCCCCATCTATAACATGGGATTGATGCATTTTGCAAATGTTGGGATTTTCTTTTTTGGGAAGGAAGGAAAAAAAAACCAGAAACCAGAAGAAACTGAGGCTCAGGTTTGGAGTCTGGAATAGAGCTGCTGAATTTGAGTGATGCAGCTTTGTGCCTAGGATTTGTAAATGGGAAGTGTGTCTCTTTGAGGAGGCCTGTTAATTTAGGAAGGCTTGGTAATTAGTTTTGTATTTGATTTGCTGAGGAGATGGCTGTAAAACTACTGAGATTTCACTGATTTAAACCTTCCAAATTAGGCACAGCAATTTTCTGAATATCTTGTGCAAATAAACAGCACAGCTTTTCCCTCTTCTTGAGTTACTGCTTTTCCTTGGGAATGGCCTTAACGGGAACCTGCTGTCAGCTCTGCCAGTGGGGCTGAGATGAGTTAGTGCCTCCACTTCAGGATAATTTGGAATTCTCCTGAAAAATGCAGCAAAAATTAGCAATGCCATACATGCATTTTAGTGGCTTTTTAATCAGTAAGAGCTGTTACTGTATCTGCCTTTTTAGATGTCTGTTAAGAGGCTCAGGGGCTGCTCCTCAAAGGTCTGAACTTCCACAGCTCTGGTGGAGTGAGAATGAGCCAGGAAACCCAGCCTGGTCTCCAAACTTCTGTCTCTTCTGGAAGCAAAGTTTGGGCAGTGAAGTACAGCCCACATCTGTGTTTTGCAGTCTCTGTAGCAACTGAGCTAAGAATTGTGCTGTCATTTTTCACTCAGTCTTGTGGTGCTTCTGTAACATTGTCTTTGCAATTCCTACAAAATTCTCCTTAATTTTAATTCATTTTAGGAATAGAAACCTTTTTGTTCTAAGCATTTAGCTATAACTGCTTTTTAGAAGAGCTTTGAAGATTACAATTGAAGACAATTATAGGTTTTATAGCAGCTGTCTTCCAAATCTGTAGCTGTTGTCACACAGATTTACTTGATGAACTGGAGACCTTTTTCTGCTCCAGAAAAGACAAAACCCCATTGGCTTTAATTACATGTTACACTTTTGTGAGGGGGCATTTTGTGTATAAATACACTAATATTTTTAATCAGAAATGGAGGACCACCCTATCCTACCTCCACACATTGAAGTTGCTAGAGAAAAGGTGAAGCAAACTGGTTTACAAGTTAGGGTGAAGACAAGAAATAATTGTGGCAAAGGAATTTGCAGTGAGACAACTGAAAAGCCCTGCAGGGGCCAAGGTTCAGCTTGGCAGCAGTCAGGGTTTCCTGCTTTCCCCAGGCAGGTGGCTGCACGTGCCAGGAACAGTGTAAGCAGAAGTGACTCTGCCTCCCTGCAGGAGTTCTTGGTGCCACTTCCACACCTGTGCTCTGTGACTCCCAGACCACAGCTTTGTTTCTTTCCCTCTTTCATCTTCCTGCATTTGGTAGAGCAGCAGATCCCATGTGCTGAGTTTGGAGCTGCTGTCCCAGATGTCCCACTGAGGTTTCCCATTCCTGTGCCTGGGTTTATTAGCTGAAACATGGCAGCACAGCTGGTCCTATAACTGTGCTTATTGCTTGGGATTTTTTTCTCACTTTGCAGCTTTTTATGAATACAGTGCATATGGCTTTCCTCTCCAAGGAGCAGTGCTATTTCCAAACTTTCCTCATGTGAATATTGTGTATTTCTAATGACAGGCTTTCTCCCTTCCCCCTCCAGCCCTGCAGTTGTGGCTTTCCCTGTCTCTGGTGCCTTTTGCTGGCTGAAGATGGACTAGAACTAGTCCAGTGAAGCAGTCATGAACCAGGATCCTGCATCCTGCAGGATGTAATCACCAATAATGTGGAGTTTTTGTGCAACTGATACTTTATGGTGCTGATGCTGGCTCACTTCATGTCTGCAGCTCTTCCTGGGTTATCTGAAATTAGTCATTTTTATATTAGAACCAGTTTGTCAAATTGTCCAGGGCAGTCTGCAGACAGCTCTCACCTCCCATGTAGTACCAGCAGTGCTGGCCTCCCCTCAGTGCTCAGAAGCAGTGATTTTCTGTCAGCCCACACCAGGACACAATCATGTGATGGAAAGCCTGGAATCAGGAACCCTCCAGGGTGTGCTGCCTTAATAGGATTTTAAGAACACATCTGATGGGCCCCTCAGAAGGAAGCTGCAAAACATGTCCAGGAATGAGGAGCCTGTTTTGCCAGGCTGCCTGATCCCTGTGTCAGCACAGGGCTGGTCCCAGCTAGGGGAGTCTCTCATTCATGGCAATTTGGGAAGGGATATATGACTGCTTTTAGCATGGTCTGTGCAGGAGTCTGGTTTATATTTTCCCCCAGCTTTGCAGTTTATCAGATCTGGTTTGAGTCTGTTATAATCTGACCTGGACAAATGAATTTCAGGCATGGAAACTGGGCTGATATTGTGGAGGTGTTTAGGGCTGGAAAGCCCAAGAAACACCACAGTGCAGTGGAGCTCTTCTGCCTTCCAGTGGGCTGATGGCTCATGGGCATTTGGTAACCTGATGATTGTGTCTCATTGCTGCCTTTGTCCCTGCTGTGACCACACTGCTTTGGCAGAGTCACTGCAGGTCTCTTGCCCGGGCCTTAGCCTGAACATGTTTTGAAATGTATCTGAAATGTAATTGTTCTGAGGAAGGAGAGCTGAGGAGAAGTTGCCTTTGCCTCCCCAGTGTCACTGCACGCTCCCAGCTGGGAAGCAGCCTGGCCTCACACAGACTGCAGCCCCAGAGCTGCCCCACTGCTGGGAGTTTTGCTGCTTGCTTTGTTCTGTGTCACCTGAGAAACTTCACTGCCAGCACTGGGTCTGTTTTGCCTGGGTGTCCTCATATGGGCTTTGATGCTGATTTCTCAAGGATGTAGAAGTGGTCTAGGACAGCAGAGGGGGACAGGAGAACAGCTGTTGCTGCTGCCTCTGTTGCTTTGGTGGGAACAGCCGATACTCCGACATTTGCTGATGGAGGATGCCACCCCAGCAGTGTCAGAGGGACATGGCTGATGGGTACCACACAAGTGACTGAGTTCTGTGTGCCTGATGCTTGAATGCATTGTCTTAAAGCTCTGGTGACCTGCCGGCCAGATGAATTCCAGTGTGGTGACGGGACCTGCATCCATGGGGCAAAGCAGTGTGACAAGGTGCACGACTGTCCTGACAACAGCGACGAGGCCGGCTGTGTCCAAGGTGGGTACAGGTGCTCCTCGTGCTCCATGGGGTAAATCTGCCAGGGCTGGTGGCCTCTGGGCTGCTCCTCTACTTGGCCATGCCAGGCTGCTTCCTGTACAGTTTGAAGCCATTTTTGCAGTGGGGTTGCTTGGGAGAGATGATTGTGCTGAGCAGGCAGACTGCATGACTTGAAAAGTTCTTTGCATGATGCTTTAGGCTCAATGTTCATTTGCTTAATCCCATCCCGTTTCTGCTAATGATGCCCTCCTGAGCTTTATGTCAGCCTGTTTGTTGTCACGAGCCTCATCTAACTTAGATGCTTTCCTCTCTTGCCCAACATGACAGAGTCAGCATGTGAAAGTCCCAGCAAGTTTCAGTGTAAGAGTGGAGAGTGCATTGACGGAGGCAAAGTGTGCGATTCACATAGAGACTGCAGGGACTGGTCTGACGAGCCTCTGAAAGAATGTGGTACAGTACTTGCCTTCTACGTGTTGCTCCTGTTGTAACTGCTTCCCCTCTTCTCCATCTGCTGCTCACAGCTTTGAGTGTAACCACATGTAGCTGCTAATGCTATTTCTCACTCTGCTCCTCTTTCCTTGCCTTTATTCTCTCATCACCCTTCATATGAATATAATTAGTAGCTTAGTCTGATCATCTGTAACTTTGAACTGTGCCCTTCTCCACTCAATTTTTATTCTTGGAGGGATGTATGAACTGAGCACGGGACTAGGAATGAGGAATTCCCCCTCTCCCCAAATACTGGTGCCCTCCACAACACACACCAGTTTATTTAGCCTCATTGCCTAAATTATCTTTGAATTCTAAGATGATGATAACACCATAAAAATATAGCAATGGGAACATGCTTTGAAGGTGAAAACATGTAGAGTGGCAGCAACCCCTGAGAGAGGACTTCAGCCTTTTCTGAGTTGCACATGTTGCTGCTGCTTCCCTCAGCAAAGACAGCAGGCTGCTCTCTGCCAGCTCTGGGCTGTGGGAATGCCAGGGCAGTCAGGGCTGTTGGAGCCAGGGAACAGAGCTGAGGGCACAGAGCTGTGCCCTTCTCCATAGGACAGCCCTCTCTTGCCCTTCCCACCAAACACTGTGGGCACCAGCCCCAATCTGCAGCATCACTCAAACACGTTTGTTGTTTTCCCCAGGGCAGAGATGTCTCCAACAGGCATCTCCTTCCATGCCATCCTGGAGCTCAGTGGCTGCCCCTTACATAACTCCTGTTCAGAACTGTCAGTCTCTCCCTGTTTTAGACAAGGAAGAGTGTGTGCTTGCCTAGTGAAGGTGCTCCTACCTCATGCTTCCAGTGTGCCCTTGCTTTCTTCCACTAATCCTCATCTCCCTGTTTCTCTGAGTGGGTGTTGCAGTGTCTGTCTGTGGAGGTCTCCCAGCAAAGCTGGCAGCTCAGTTTGTCAGAGGAGACTGGGCAGTGGCACAGCTGGGCTGGTGCTCAACCCATGGTCATGGTGCCATGATTGTGCCACCCTGGGCTGGCAGTGAGGTGTTTGAGCTGGGAAGCAGAGAGGAGCCCCCAGGGGAAGGTGTTTCTCAAAGGGCACAGTGCTGTGGGTTGCTGGGACACTAATGCCCACACACAGGTGATCCCCACAGGAGGCAGAGGTGCAGGACACACTCCCCAGCTCAGTGTGTCTGTCTGGCCATGCTAAACTCTGCAGTGCCCTCTGAGAGTCCCCCAGAAAAGCACTGCAGAAGGCATGACAACACTTGGCTATTTTAGTCAGGCAACTTGCTCCATTAATTATGTGTTGATATCTCTGTATGTCCCTGCTAGGAAGGTGAAAGCATCCCAGAGCTGAGTTGGATTCCTTCTGGCATGGTATTTTCCCTGTCTTACTGACTTAATTGGGTTGTGGTTGTTTCCATTTTCTTCCAAGAGCAATGGTTTATTGGCTCTGCTGTGCTGCTCACCTGCAGTGTGCAAGGAAGCAAGAAGTAAAAGATAAATGAAAAATTTGCCTTTAAATTGCATTATAGACTGAAGCAAATCAGTTTTCCTTGTTCTGGTGAGTCCACTATCCCTGAAATCCCACAGCTCCTGTTCAGCAGTCTTCCTTAAGGAGAGAACTTTCTCTTCACCTTTTGTAGGTCAATTACAACAAGAAGAAATGTTTTCTCTGACAGGAAACCAGCTTTTCCCAACCTCTCATTCAGTTCTACTTTTAAGAATCCATTTATTCAGTTTTTCATTTCAGCACTTGAGAGCAGGATCAGACAGGTGGCCTTGGATTAGAAAGGACCCCAGGAGAGTTTGGGGGCTGTTGCTTTGTAAATTGCACACTGGGGGTGCCAGCAAAGACTGTTGTGGGGAACGTGTTTGTGGGGGGATGTATCAGTGCTAATGGAGTACCTCTGACAGACTGCACTTCAGTGTTTTCTGGAATTTTTCACATAGAACATTCCTTGGAGCTAGATGGGAAAATAGTAGAGTATTTCAAAACAGCTGGCCCCTGGGAGATGAGAGTCCCCCAGCATGAATTATTAAAGCTCAGAGAGACTGTTCAGAAAAGTCAACATGAACCAGTGCACGGGGAAGGAGGAGCGTGCTGGTGAGAGCCCTTAGGTCCCTTGGAAGTTTCTCACATGTGGCAGAACAGCTCAAAGCAGCAGCTCTCTGAAGGGATGAGATGCAGAGACTCACACACGCTGTATCCCCAGGGCTCCCCATTCATTCAGCCACTAGCTTTGAGTCCAAATGATCCCCCAGTGTTGGTTTGGAATAATAAAGAGCAAGAAAGTGATACAGTGGAGGCTTCCGGTCTCTGAAGGCACTCATGCTCTATAGGGCCTGCACCAAAACTGATAGAAATGGGAAAATTTCTGAGGAAATCTCTTAATTTTATTCAATCTCACAAGTAAAAGCCCCGTTTGTCATAGGTGATCTGTGTATCCCCTGCAGGTGTCAATGAATGCTCGATGAACAACGGTGGCTGCTCACACATATGCAAAGACTTGAGGATTGGTTACGAGTGCGAATGCCCGCCTGGATACAAGCTTCTGGATAAAAAAACGTGTGGAGGTAATTGACATGCAAACAGCAGTCCCTTGTGTTTCACCATAGAGAGACGTGATTATATTCACTTGAGCATTGCTCCATCACAGATGGTTTGATTTCAAGTTATTGATGGGTTTCAAACACTCCTTTCAGACATAGATGAATGTGAGAATCCAGACGCTTGTAGCCAGATCTGCATTAATTACAAGGGAGACTACAAATGTGAGTGCTACGAAGGATACGAGATGGACACCCTGTCCAAGAACTGCAAAGCCGTAGGTAAGGCAGCGCCACAGGCACGGAAACTCTGCTTGCTCAACAGCACAGCTCTGCTAAGAAAACACGCTCCCAGCTGAGGCACGGGAGTGGAAACAAAAGGAAACAGGCAAATCAAGCAAAGACATTTCACTGTGAGCAGCACAGAGCTGCTGCAGCAATAGCAGATGCGTCTCTAGGCAAGAACTACTGATCGTGCAGATCAGAATATTTTAACAGTGTACAGAGCAAGATTGCAGTCACTACTTGGCTGTTTGAAGCTGAAACTAGAAAAGAAAGTCTCTTGACAGGTGTTATTGAAAACAGTGCAGCAAAAACATTTTGTGGTAGTAGTATTGAAAGAAAGAAAACATCCTGATTAAAACAGGGTATCTGAGCCAGCCCTCCACCCTCCCAGCTGTAAGTCACCAAAATCTGGCCCAGGATTTTGTGCTGAATGAATTGAAGATGAGGCCATTCCCCAGAGGCTGTCCAAGTGCCATTGTGTGTCCAGGGACTGCAGGGGTGCCTGCATGTGACAGCCCTGCCTCTGGAGCAAGCTTCCTCTTGCTTCCAGTGTGGTGTAAAGCTTCGGTACAAACACAGCTATCAGTGACTGATAATTCCATTGTTGTTTGAGAAATGAAAGCTGAATCCAGCCCCTGGGACAGCTGCTGAAGTGACAAATGTGCTGATTTTGTGTGGTAGGCAAGAGCCCATACCTGATCTTCACCAATCGCCACGAGGTCCGTAAAATAGACCTGGTGAAAAGGGACTATTCCCGCATCATCCCCATGCTGAAGAACGTGGTGGCGCTGGATGTGGAGGTGTCAACAAACAGAATATACTGGTGTGACTTGTTCTACCGAAAAATCTACAGGTAAGGGGCAAGAGAGGATGTGTGTGCTGGTCCCTTGCCAAAGCTGCATTCCCTGCATCCCCTAAAGCAGTCCAGAGAACAGTGCAGGGTAAGGGCACCCGAGGGCTTTGCTGCCCTGACAGGATAACCTGTTGTGGCCCAGACTTGGTAATCTTTTTGGGGAATTGATAAAGACATCAGAGGCTTGTGCAGTTATCTCTTTGATAATACAGGGTGACTTTTCATCAATGCCAGTTCCTGCTGCACTCAAGCAGTTAAATGTAGGGCTCTTGTTTCCTGAGCCATGGATATTGCAAAGCAGGGCCAAGGCTGCTGCTGTGCTGTGAGTGCTGTATGGGAGGCCACAAAGGACCTGGCATCTGGAAGCACAAAGCAGGCAAATGGTGGGAGCAAGGAGGCAGCCACACAGTCACAAGCTGCTGCCCACTGTAGTCTCTGGTAGATTGGATTTAAATTCACAGCACCTGACCACAGTACACATTCTGTAACTCTCATTCTCACTCCTCCTTCAGCTGTTTTTATGGCATCCATCACAATTATTATGTGCTGGGGCTCAGCCAAAAAAGCATTTAATTTATGTGCTGAAAATCCCCCGTGTATATTCTGATGTGCACAGCTATTGCAGCTTCTGCAGTGGTTTGCTCTGGATTTCAGCTAATGCTCAGGCACAGGCTGACTGGTGTCAGCACATGGGAGCCAGGCCAGGGTTTCTACAGGCACTGGTAGCTCCCATGCCCTGCAGGGATATCTGCCCAGACTGTGCTGGGCATTGACCACCAGCAGCTGGGCAGGTACCCTGAGGGGCCTGTGGGGCTCTGAAAGAGGAGGGATAGCTCAGAAAAAAGCTGTCAGCACTCACTGGGTCTGTCTGGGCAAAGGCTGAGTTCGTACACAGAGGATTATCCAAGACACTGCTCCTGCAGCTCTCCAACAGCAAATATGCTGGAGTCCCTGGGAACAAGCAGTCTGTGGTTGAGAAGCTATTGCAAAGTGAAAACTGTGATACAGGAGGTAATCACTGGCAAGAGATCCTGTCTTTCATTATGGTCACCTCATTTGCCTTTCCAGATCCTGTCCTGTTGAGGTGATGTCTCCTTTGGGGTGTCAGATCTTTTACAATATTTAGTTACTGGGAGAATTGCAAAGTCATCTGTACTTGAGCCCTTGCACTGTGGAAGCTGCAGGAGCCTCTTGCCTTTCCCTCCTGTGCAGGCACAGGTGGGAAGCAGGGAACTCAACTGTTCCACTGGCAAGGGATTACTGGCCTGGAGCTGGGCACTGAGAGCACAGGGTCACTCTGGAATACTGGAATCTTGGGAGCACTGTCAGATGCCCACAGAGCCCTGAGGTACCATCCCTGTGGTGCTGGGTCAGAGACAAACCAAAACCATTCTTGTAGGGAAGATGCAGCAATGTGCTGGCCATTCCAGCCCTGACTGCAGACTGTAAAAGTGTCAGGAATTCCTGGGTTTAGATGTTTCAGTTCCAGGGTCTAATCTGATGTTGGAGAACTCAGCTCCCATGCAATTCACCTTCTCATTCCATCAGCAAAGGCAGGATGGGCAGTGAAGAGGAAGCCTCTTACAATTCCAGATATTTGGGGTAAGGGGCAGAAACCTTTTCTGCTTTATAACTGTTCTAAGATGCACTGAGTTATTCCAAGAGCCAGACTAAGCTTCTGCAAACACTGATGCAAACTCAGAATAACTCATTTCAGTGCACTCAGCAGAACTGATATTGAGAGCAGAATCAGCCTGTGTGGTTGTAGGAGCAACATTCCAGTTATTTATGAAACATCCATGTGGAGTCTGCTGCCTTTCATTATCATTTTGAAAGATTTTGAAGCTGCCACTAATATTTAGTGAGCATTTTGTTTGTATCTAGTGAAATCACTTGCCAAATTAATGCAGCTTCATGAATTCCTTTGATGAGTCATAATTAGCTACACAGCTCCTAATTCTGGGGTACATTTAAGCACATTTATTGCATGCTCAGTTCAACTCTGCACAGCAGAGCTCTGGAGATTATATTTTTCATGTCCATAAATCCCACAAATCAGTGCTGTTGAAGTTCACATGCCAGAAGTCAAATGTTTTCCTGAATTGTGCAGTTACAGTAGGAAGCAGGTAGAATGATGAAATGCACAGTTCCCCACCGTGGAAATGCTGCCATATGGGAATGGGGAAATAAGAGGCTGTAGGAGCAAGCAGAAGGTTGCAGGAGCACCATAAGGGTTCCTGTGTCAGCCACGCTGCCCCTGGGCCCAGCTCTGGGAGCCGTGTGGGAGCCCTGTGACCTCCTGTCCCCGCAGCGCCTACATCGACAAAGCGAGTGACACGGCCGAGCAGGTGATCCTCATCGACAGCCAGCTCAACTCCCCCGAGGGACTGGCCATCGACTGGGTCCACAAGAACATCTACTGGACTGACTCTGGAAACAAAACCATCTCAGTAGCCACTGCAGATGGAAGCAAGAGGAGGACACTTTTCAACAGTGACCTCAGCGAGCCCAGAGCCATCGCTGTGGATCCCACACAGAGGTAGGGGTGCACACCCCAAACTCCCCTCTGCCAACAGAAACGTTCCAGTCACAAACCTGGGGGTGGTTCTCATCTCACCAGGACTCAGATGCCCTTTGAGATGCACCTGCAGTGGGACTGTGGAGATGCTTTAACTAACCCTTGGCAAGGTCCTGCTGTTAAAAGTCAGTTCAGGGCCAGTTCATGTGTTCAATGCACCTGAGCTGGTCCTGGCACAGAGGCTGTGCTGGGAAATGAAGTCAGCCTGACTTGTGTTTGGGCTGTTTGGATGAGTGAATGCCAGGTACCTAACAGGCACAGCAGGAGAGTTTTCAGGGGTTAGTTACTGGGGTGAGATGCTGCATTCTGGTGCAAGTTTTGTGGCAGATTACCCAGTGGGAGAAGTGCATGTGGTTCCACCAGAGGAATTAACTGCTGTAATAAGGAAAGAATCTTTGGCACCTCTTACTGCAACCAGCAGTGCAGGATTCTTAGCTGGAGTCCAGCTTATTGCTTTCTTACCTGTGCCTCTGCCAGGTTCATGTACTGGTCTGATTGGGGAGACAAAGCCAAGATCGAGAAGGCCGGTCTGAACGGCGTGGGGCGGCGGGTGCTGGTCACCGACAACATCGAGTGGCCAAACGGCATCACCCTGGGTAAGTGCCCAGCTCAGAGCTGCAGCACCCACTGAGCTGAGGGAAATCTGCTTTTGGTGTTAAACAAGTGGGAAAACAAAATTGTAAATGCTCAAAGGCACCTGCACACACAAATCCTGAACTGGTCAGTCAGTCACTGCTGCTCACACACATGGGTTCCCTTATCTCAGCAGCACAGACAGAAAGTCTTGCTGTAGTCAGACCCTCATACTGCAGGAGCCTTGAGGTGCCTGTCATTGTGCCTTCAGGCAAAAGGAAAGTTTGGGGAAGGATGCAGAGCTGTGACAACCCTTTAAGAGTCTGCAAAGCATTTGAATCCTTGTTTTTAAATGTCTCTGTAGCTGGGCCTGTCTCAGGAGCAGTGTCAGGATCCTGCACTGGACTGATGAATGGTGCAGAGGGACAGGGCCTGCAGAGCCCATTCCCTGTCACCATTCCCTGCCTGCCCAGCTGCAAAGGGTGAATGGAGCCACAGAGGGCTGTGGTGGTTCTCACTGCCACACCAAGCAGAGTGGGAAGGAGGTTTCATGGAGCAGCAGGGAACATCCTGCTCTGCAGTGGGAGCTGTGTGTGTTTAACACCATGCAGATGTGAAGTTCTCTTCTTGGCTTTAAAAATGCTGGCTGTGGCAAGGATGGAGGAGGAAATGCTGCTGCCATTACATACTGCTGAAGTGCTACTGCTGGGAACAAATAATGTTATCATTTAGTAATTAAGAAATTAATTAATGACTTGTTTAATTATTATAACTGGTTTTGTTGGCTCTCATCCACTTGCATTCTGCTCAGTGAATCCCATCCAAAATAAGTGAATTTGCTCCAGAAACAGGAATGCAGTTCTTAGCATTCCAAATAACATTGGATCCTTTCCTCCCACTCTTACCTGCACCCTCCCAAACCTGGCTGGTTGTGGTAGACTGTCCCCAGCAGCAGATTCCCTCAGCCTGCAGCATAAGAAGGGTTTCCTGCCCCAGGACTCTTCTTCACTGAAAATGTGTGAATCTCACAGCTCCTTCAGAGAGGTGTTTCATTGGAATCTCAGTAGTTGTTCTCCAGCAAGAGGCCAAGGCCTGAAGAACCTTGGGAGGGATGAAGCTTCTCACCCAGGCACTGATGGGGAGAATCTGGGAAGCCCAAACTGCTGATTCCCTGCTGCTCCTGGTAACAAAAGAACCTCATTGTACAAGGCTGTCAGTCAGGCATTCCCCACACACACAGAGCAGAATGTTCCTCCTTTTTAGTCTTATTTATAGGGTCTTATCCCAGCATATCTGGGCACTGATTCAAAATCAGAACTAGTGTTAAAAAAAAAAGAGTCCCAATAATAAAGAGATTAGTCATGCTGCCAGCAGGAAAAACATGCTGGGCAAGAGCAAAAGAGTTGCAAGAGCTGTGTGTAATTTTGCTTCATTGTGTTTCACTTTCCAGATTTGCTGAATCAGCGTCTCTACTGGGTAGATTCCAAATTGCATTCACTGTCCTGCATTGATTTCAATGGCAGCAACAGAAAAGTTCTGATCTCCTCTGTGGATGATCTGAGCCATCCTTTTGGCTTGGCAGTGTTTGAGGTAAGAGTGGAAAACGGATGCAGAACAGACTGGAGCTTGCAAGAGGTCTCAGAGCTCTTCTTGATTGAAAGTTCTGCCTTTTGCCCAGCACAGAGCTCAGTGAGGGCAGCTGCTGCTATAGAAACCGATTAACCTCGTGTGGGCTCAGCAGGGAAATTGGTTTTTAAAGCCTTAATCAAGAGCAAAGTGTTATCTCATGCTTTTACCTAATGCAGCACCAGTGCATTAAATGATCAGGGGAACAAAGGCTTTAACTTTGGCACTCACTGTAGGTAAGTCATAGCAGAGAAAGGTCCAGTTGGTGTCTGGCTCAGGAAATCCCTCATCCTTAAATCCCTTATTCCTCCTGTGTGAAGTGTGTGATATCTGGGCATCTGACTTTGGGCATAGGTTTCTCCAGGTCACTGTTGCTCTTTAGTGCTATCCCCTTCAGCAGCATTTGGAAGGATCTCTTGGGTTATTCCACCTCTCTCCATCCTTCCTGGTAGGAATGGCTGTGTAGGATAACAGACAAGTTCTGCTTTTGCTAAGCTGCCCTGTTGTCCAGCAGTGTGGCTTTCCTAAGGAAATACACATGGGTTTGGGAGGCAGCAGCACACACAGATGACCAAGCAATTAAACTGCTTGGTGTTAATGTGATTCCTGGGTACCTCTTCCACCAGTAGTTCTGTATCTTTAGACAAAGTATGCCGTGTAAAATATAGTAGTATAAAAGAGAAACAGGTGCTCTAGGCACTGGCCTCTTCACAGAGACCTGTTTAATGCAGATCTTACCTTAGGAAAGGAGGAAAAATCAGCAAGCTAACAAATGTTTCTAGTACAGAGTGTGGCCCTTTGCTCATGATTTACCCCAGCTTACAAAGAAAAAGCAGTTCAGAAACAACAGAGACGCAACTTGTCTGTACCTTACCAAATTTCTGCTCCCTCACCTCAGTCTCAGAGCTACTCAAAATTACACAGCACGTTGTAAACTCATAGGAGTGCTGGGATTTTGAACATTGTCCAAAACAGAAAAAAGCTGCAGACAGAAGTAGCGTGAACAGAAGGTGCCCCAAGGTAGGAACATGGTGCACTGACTCTGGGACTGCTGGAGTTTAATCCAATTTGAGCAGGCCAGGTCAGGAATGTGTGCATTCCCTGCAGGACAGAGTGTTCTGGACTGACCTGGAGAACGAGGCCATCTTCAGTGCAAACAGGCTCAATGGCTTGGACATCTCCATTCTGGCAGAGAATCTCAATAACCCTCATGACATCGTGGTGTTCCATGAATTAAAGCAGCCCAAAGGTAAGAGGTGTCCTCAGGATGTCATGGCCCTGAATCAGGTTTGTTAGAGCTGGCAAATGAAATGCTCCCTGATGGTTCTTGATGAGAGAGAATGCACAGGTAATAATGGGAAATCAATGCCTAATGTTTGAAGTTCCTGCATAATTAATTCAGCAGCAGCATTTATTGAAGAATCTGCAATTTGCTAATAGCTGTTTAATTAGCATCTTTGATAACAGTGAGTTACTCTTGTCACTGTGATGCTTCCCATTCATTATGCACTTGGGAAGTTTTTATAGTACTTTGTAAGGTTCCACTCCACCATACAAACTGTAAAGATACTTAAGCAGCCTGAAAAACTGAGGTAGGGAGTGAGAGAAGGTCTTTTCAGAGGATCTGATATTTCTTTGCCAAGGGCAGGAAATAAATTATTAGAAAAATAACTTGTCTTTTCTTCCATCCTTGAACAGCTCCAGATTCCTGTGAGCTCAGCCCCCAGCCAAACGGAGGCTGTGACTATTTGTGTCTTCCTGCACCTCAGATCTCACCCCACTCCCCCAAGTACACCTGTGCCTGTCCTGACAATATGTGGCTGGGTCCTGACATGAAAAAATGCTTCAAAGGTAAACACCATCACATCTCCATTTCACTGTCCCAACAAAATCCTAGTCACAGTGAATATATTTCCTGATGGTGAGAACACAAACACCAACTTCTGTATTCCACTCCTTGCTGCCCACAGCAGCACTATGGTGTCCTTGCTGAAAGCTTGCTTATTTTGGAAAGCTTCACCAGAAAAAGATACAGCAGGAAGAGGGGAAAAAAGGCTAGGGACCAGCACTAGAAGTGTGAATAGTCAATACATCATTAAAATAGATTTTTCATACATTGATATATTGATTATGTTATATATATATATATGCAATGTGTACTTCTGTATCTATTTAGGTATCTATATATCTATCCAAAGATAAGAAACCAGGTCTGAAGAGGACACAGTTGTTGCTGATATATCCTGAAGAGATGAGTGGCTTCACTGTAGTTTCTCCTAACATGCAATGAGTTCCTGGTACAAATTCAGAATCTTGGGAGGTTCTCAAAAACCCCCAAGTCTGTGAACTTCTTAGCTACCTTCAATACAGACTGGTTTTTTATTAGTATTAATTAATCAAGCTTGACTTCAGGAAATAATTTCTGTAGCTTTAGGCAGAGCACTGTCAATAGTTTGACTATCTGGGAAATGGAATTCGAATTTAGTTTCTGCTTCTCTTCATTAAACATAACAATCCTTTCTAGATTTCTGTCACCATTTGTGATTTGTTTGGTGTACTTGCTTTAACCAAATTTCATTATTGCTCTTGGTTTTCAGAGCTTCCAACCACTGCAGCTCCTGTAGTGGTTTCCACAAGCACAGCGTCCCGTGCTGGCGGCACCACGACCATCGCTGCTGTACCTGGCAGTGCCAATGACACCACTGGAGTTGTCCCCAAAGCTGTACCAGAAGCTACAATCACCACCCCAAGCCTTCATTTACCTTCCACCACATCCATCCTGATAGACTCTGAGATGACCACTGGGAACAGCAATTTGTCACAGCACTGTAAGAGAATGAGATTCCTTTCCTTCTCCTGTGTCACAGCTCCTCCTGCACTGCAGGAGACCTGACCCAATGTCAGAATTGCAGAGGGGTCAGTGCAGGCACACCCTGGTGCACAGCAGGATCAGCTCCTCTCTCTGCAGGCACCTGGGCTGTGATGGCTGCTGTCATTCCAGTCACCTGGCATGTCAAGGAACTTGTACCAGCTTTTATCCAAGGCACATGAACAGCCCTGAGAGTTCACATCAGCCCTGGCCAGTACTGGCTCATCCCAGCTTCAGTGCTGCAGACAGTAGAATGGATGGTTCTGCTGGTGCTTCCCCTGTTTTAAGTGTTTAATTATAAATGTGATCCAGCACAAGTTCTGGGGGAAAAATTGCCCCTGTGCATCTTTAGTGCTGCTGGACATGTGGAATCACAAGACAAGCTGCCTCTGGTTTGTGTGGCCGTGCTTGGCATGTTAATGTGGCCTCATCATGACACAGGTTTGAAGTTTTGCATTATTTATCAGAAGAGCATCCCAGTGGAGAGCACTAATAGGCTCTCATCAATGCAACACCAGCCTCAGTCTCAGAGCTAACAGGCAATCCCTCCAGGTCCTACTGCCAAGGCAAAGCAGAAAGGCTGAACTGCTATTAAAAAAAATTTCTAGTCCAGAGAGAAGATTTTGCTCTGGAAGACCTCAAATAGACATGTATGTTTGAAACCAGTGAAATGCTGTTTTCCCCTGACTGTTTCACTGTTTCCATTACATCTGGAAAGCAGCAAAACAACACCCTGTCTGTAGAACTGTGCTGCATGGGGAAAGCACAGGCCAATGGCTAAAATGTGTTCAGTTCTCTCTGTGCAAGTTTCTTTCAAATGCATTGATTACCTTTTTAACAAGCCATGGAAGAAAAATTCTTTTATTGTCCACTTTGGAAATAGTATAGTTTTTTTATTAAGTAAATAAATAACTATGTAATGGAACAGCTTGCCACGGGGAAGTATTTAAAAGTTGCATGAATTGGTGTATCAAAAGAAAAAGTACAGTTGGTTCCTCCTCTTGCAACTCCTGATATTTTAGCAAAAGTAGATTTTCTCTACTGATATGAGAGCTCAGAGCAAACATTTTGAAGTATAGAACTTGAAGGGTTATATTGAATTTTTTTAAATTATATTTTCCTGTAATTGCCTTTTTCTAAGCACAGTATTGAGTTTTGGGACCACTCTTGCATGCTGGGGCAGGCTGCAGCAATGAGGGCTAGATGTGTTCACTAACTCCTTAGCTATAAATAATGAAAAAGGAAAAAATTTAACAGAGAAGCTGTGTAGATGGCTTTGAACTACATTCATTTTCTGACAGCTCAATAAGTCATTCATTGTGTCAGTACTAGAAAGTGTTCTGTTGTGGATTTTCAGGAATGCTCTTCAGCATCCCCTGGTGCGTGCATGGCATTTCCATTAAATGTCAGGTTTTTAAAACTGGACTCCTTTTTGTGCATGAAAAATTGGAGGCCCAAGCACAGTCACCCATTTCTGGTCAGAGCTTCTCTTGACATCCTTGGAGGCTGGAGTGTGTGAGTGTCCCCTCAGGGGCCTGGAGCTCTGGGTGTCCCTGTCCCCTGGTGAGGCAGCAGCACTGCAGGGACCTCGTTCCTCGGGAGGGAGCTCAGCTCAGCCCCGATCCCTGTGTGCTGCTCAGTGTCATGTGAATCATTTTATTATGAAACTTTTTGTAAATTCTTTAATTGCAAAAGCTTTCTGATGGGCAGAACAGCACAGGTACTAACAGAAAACATTCTTTAAAAGCAGCAAACGAGTTAAATGATCAGAACACTTCTGTAATTACAGATGCAAATGACGATGAAGGCTTCGGTTCAACTGTGACAGCAGCTGTGATTGGAATTGTCATTCCTGTGGGTAAGCAGATTGGATTTAACCTTAGAGGGGGTTCACCAAAGTGCAATACCAAAATATTGTATTTACCACAGTAAATACACTTTCCCAGTTTTCACTGATGGGGTGGGAAAGAGCACAGGAACTGCTGAACTGGGGAACGGCGGCCCAGCTGTGAGAAAATGTTGTGAGGATGGTGCCAACATGGGAACATCCAGCAGATCCTGCCTGCCTAACAGCCCCTTCTGTCCCCTCTCCTCAGTGGTCATTGGCTTGCTGTGCATGGGGGGATACCTCATCTGGAGGAACTGGAAACGGAAGAACACCAAAAGCATGAACTTTGACAATCCAGTTTATAGGAAGACAACAGAAGAGGAAGATGAAGATGAAATCCACATTGGGCGAACTGCCCAAATCGGACACGTGTACCCAGCAGTGAGTACCTGAGGAGATGGCTGCTGGAGAATATTAATGCTGTTGAGAGTTCCAATAGAGAATTTGGATTAGTGTTATTTATTTGCCACATAATGACAAAAACCAAAACCTCTTTAGTATCATTGATTAGGCAGAAGCCTAAACTTCTGGCAGCCCCTGCACTTGCCTTAGAATGCAGTGCTCTGGCTCAGATACTCGGTTCAAATGAAGAATGATTGTCCTAACCAAGGTACCAATCTGACAAAGGTAAAGCTCCCTCAAGAGCTGCCCCAGGATGGGACAGGTGATTCCTCATCCCATACTGGATTCTGTTTCATCTGTGCTTAGGCTGCTACCGTGTGTCCAAACTATCCTAAGGATAAATTCAGTTTCTCTACATACCAGGGAGAATATTTTCTCTATAGCAACAGTATAAAGAAAAGTCACATTCCTCACAAGGAGACGTGACTGAAATTCTGTAAGAAGTTAAGGAAAAGGATCCTCCCTCACAGCAGCATCCCTGGGGAGAGGAGCACTGGCAGGTGTAAGTGCATTGTGTATTCAGAAGAGAGCAGGAAGCTCCAGAGTAATGAGTGAAGGCAGTACAGCTCCTGCAGGCAGGTGGGTGGATAATGTCTCTGTGATCTAAAGATCCCACACAAGATCACACTGGAGAAAGTGCCATCCCTTACAAGGAATTTTATCCAATATACACGGACAGGAAACTTCCCAGCACCTCTTTAGTAACACTTTTAGCAAATTATCTCCTTTGGGGAGGGAAAAAAAATCCCTATCTAGAATAGACTTGTGACCAATACAGGAGGGCCAGCCATGGGAGTTCTAACTAGAAATACAAGTTAGCACCAGTGTCACAGCTCACATGAGTGTGTTTTTCCCTCCACAGCGTGTAGCACTAAGCTTAGAAGATGATGGGTTGCCATGAGGATGAAGATGCTGCTCCAATCATCTGAACACTGAACAAATCTGCTTTGGATCACAGAACCTGCTTCTTCTTTTTGGTCATTATTTATGTTGCAGAAGGGTAACCACAAAGTTATAATGAACTGCAAACATCCAAAGGATGTGAGAGTTTTGTATGTATAATCTTTTATACACATTTTAACTTGTTGCACTACCCATTTGTGATAGTGAATAAGCAACAGCTGAGCTACTAACTCAATGTACATAACCAGCCAGGCTGAAGGTTCAGTAGCTATTGCTTTATTTTAAGACTATATTTATAGATATTTTGTAAATATGTTGAATATGCTTTGTGGCTATCCATCAACATAAGTAAAATAAATTCTGTACAGGCAGTTTAGAAATATTTATTAACAAAATCTGGATTATAAGATCTGTTCTGTAAATATAGTAGAGGGGTGAGAGTATTTATTTTTTGTATGTTTGGCTTGCTGTGCATAGATTATCTGTGTATATATCTATCTGGATGAGGTAGATATATAGGCATATAAATATATACATATATATAAATATATATACATATATTTTAAAACTACTAGCCTACATTTATGAAAATTAGGAATAATTGAATTTTTACAGGATGTTTGAGAAGTTTGCTTTGAAATCTAAAGACTATATAAGATAGAGCTGTAGTGTAAGTTAGCTGACCAGTGAAGCACTCCTAACAAACATCTCCTGATTTCCATCCTGGTTCTTAAGGGCTGCTTGTACATTTTCCAGTCTATCCATGAAGAATCCATGCAGTGCATTAAACTGGAGAGCTGTTGCCTACAGCATTTCAGTCAGGAGAAACTCCTACAGCACCCAGGGGTTTTGTGCTGTATTGTGGCTTTTTTACAGCTTGGTACAAATCTGATTTGGTTTTTGTTCGTTTGTTTCTAAATGTAAATTTAAATGCTTTTCCACACTGGGAATCTTGCATCTCTTAAATCAGCTCAGAATTAGCAGAAACAAAGATTTAGCCATATATTTCCACACTCCCAAGTGAGCACTCTCCCTGGTTCATCAGGAAAATAGCACAGGAACAAAAGTCACTTCCTCCCTCCTTCCCTTGTCCCCTGCTCATAGTGATAAAAGCCCCAGTTTTAGGAGCTGCTGTGGCACACACAGAACTCTTCCCAAGTCCTGCCCATGGAAGCAGCTACCCTTTGGCTGGGTCATCCTGCACCTGGCAGGAAAAACACTTGATTTTTCTCATCTCATTCTATAGGATTTCCTGGGAATTCTGTGGGAAGTGAATACACTTACCTCCCACTGCAGAATGGACTAGTACCTCCCTGAACTGTACCAAATCCTAGAGAAATCTTCCTCATGTTTTTATGTCAGTCCAAGCTTTTGTATTTGAGTGAATAGAAGAAACTCAGACTGAATAGGTTTGGAGATTTTTTCCTTTTTTTTTCCTTTCTTTTAGAATAAATTTACAGAGTAATATGAGCTGGAAGCTGATTCTTGACTAAGAGAAGAAAGAAAGTGTTTAAAGCCCTGGTATGCATTACAGACATAATCCATACTCTCAAATGCCTCATGGCCTGCATAGACAATACAGAAGTAATCAAGCATCCTTCTATTCCAAATTTTAGATTTTAAGGCAGTGACAACATGAGTGAACTATCCCATTATTGTTTTAAGGTATGAAGCTCTCTTTCTATAAATCCATGCACTGTGTGCATGAAGAAAAAAGCTGAGCAAGGCTGTATGTGATAACACTGTAACTAACAGACGAATGTAAATATATATGAAAGTTCTACAGTTTTGATACTTTTTTAAGAACACACAAACAAACCTGTACAAACCATGTGTAAAAGGCTGCAGGTTTTTTCAAACCATTGTAAATGAACTCAATGTGCAGTGCTGATTTCAACCTTTACAGATTTATAACTACCGAGAAGTCAAACACCAAATTTGTTTTTTAAGAAGTTAATTATTTTAAATAATGGTTCAGATTGGTAGGGTGATATTTAACATTGTAATCATTTCTGCTCTGTCTTGTCATTCTGAAGTTCTGTTAGAGTAAGTTCTTGCTTGGTGCCTTTTGTGTTTCAGTTCTTACCTTGCAGACAAAAGGCCCAGGGAGGGGCGGGGGGGCTCTGTGTAACACTTGCTGTACTGGAAACCAAATGAACACGTTTGTAAAACAGTGCACTGTTTCTATAGAAAGATTAAATTTTTTTATCTGGGATTACTGCACTAATTACTTCATGGTGTCTGCAATGGGACTGTATCATATTTTGGTCTGAGTTTTCCCTAACTCTTAACTGCCCAAATCCAGAGTGGGATTTGGGAGCAGTGCTGGGTAAGCAGCTGTCCAGCTGCAGTGTCACAGCAGCAGCATGGGCACAGTTCATGTTCCACAACAGAGCACTTTGTTCTCAAGTCTCTGGTCATCTGCAAATCACATGGCAAACAGCACCAGCTTCATTTCCTGACTCACTGATGTGACTGAGTAAAACCTCCCATGGTACAAGTACACCAGGCCTTACCCAGAGTGAGAAAATGTCCCAGAACTGAACAGTGCCCACAACACAACTGGTGCAGTTTTTCACCTGAACTATTACATGCTGGACTATTCAACAACTAATTGCAAGTGACTCAGTTTCTTCTTGGAGCTTTTGTTTAAAACACCTACACAAGCTGCAAAACTCCTTAGAGCCACACTTCTGCCAGCTTGGGAAAAAGACAGAAACACTGCTGTTCTTGGAATCTCAAGAGGCAGGCTCACTTCTTTTCTTTTAAACATACAAACAGTCCCTCCCATAAAGCTGGAAAATTGTTCATGTACTGGAGGTATGACAGTAATTTTGGCTGGACACATAAGTGACTCAGAACTAAACACACTGTTAGCTTGCTGTCTCTCCCCTGTCTCCTGAAAAAATGAAATCCTGGATAATACAATACAACACAACACTCCACAACCTCTCCCCACTGCATGTTGTTCAAAGCCCTTGGAAGCAGAGCCTTTATTGAAATTCTCTTTCAGCCAATTCTTAGCCCCAGAGGAAGCAGCCAAGCAGGTAAAACTTTTCAAGCACAAAGAGTTATTACCAAACTAATATGGACTGATATACTGGTAAATATCAGTGGTTTAGTTTTCTATCTAACTGAAAATAGGTTTTTCTTACTTCAAAATGTTCTTCCCTTTCAGTTAAGTATTTTAGAAAAGTAATATGGCAACAAATAGAAAAAGTGAAACAACAACAAAATTCTCCAGGCCTAAATAGCAAGGACAGCACAGAAGGAAATTGAAAGAGCCTCATAACAGAGTCTCAAACCTACCTGAGCATTAAACCTCCCAAAACAACTCCCTTTTAAAATTATTTCTGCTGTATTAGCAATAAAATTACATTTTTTGTTTCAGTTCTTACACACAGTAACTGTACAGTCTGAGTTAACCCACACCAACACTGTTCTGCCTGCTCCCATTAAGATCTCTCTGGACTACAGGGACTCATCTCTGTCCCTCAGTGTTTATGTAACACATGGAACTCAGTCACCTTTCTGCAAGAATATGTGTGCTCATTTCCTTACACTCTGTTCTCCATCAAACCAGCCCTTTAACTTTGGGAAACACTTTTAAGTCTGTCTTACCATCCTTGCCTTGAAGGGCCCTGCAGCCACAGGCTGTTGTGAGCCCTGTCACTGCTCCAGTGCAGGCATTTACAGTGGTGCCAGTCCCAGCTGTCTCCTAAATGCACATTTCCTCTGCTGTCCCCTCCTGAGAATGGGAGTGACAGGAGGCCTTTGCTGGGCAAATGGCATCCAGGCAGGGCAAACCCCACAAGAGAAGAATGGGGGGGCTCACTTTCTGCAGAGACCAGACTGGCTCTTCTCAGACAGGTGAAATGAGCCTGGCCAAGTTTGCCAGGGAGCTGGCATTACTGCCCAGGGAATGGACTGAGCCCTCTTGTTTCACTTGCATGGCTTTGAGCACTGATCCTCAGCCAAGACACAAATCTCAGGGTACAACTTTACACAGATAAAGATGAACTCGTGGCTTTTGCTATCACAGCAGCAGAGACCATGACACAAAGCATCAGCTTCACAATAGCTCACCTCCCAGAGTGTCCCCAGAAGGTGGCCTGTGTGCCTCAGGGTGCTGAATGTGCATTTCTCATCCCAGCTTCCAGAAGAAGCCAACGAGCACCAGTCCAGGCTGAGTTCTTGGCTTTTACAGGAGGGCAGTAATGCCAACCTGTATCTGTATCTATGCATCAGCTAGCAGAATGAGAATAAACATGCTTTAAAAAATGATAACTCCTTTTGCAAATTATTTGCAGCATTCAAATCTCTCCATGTACCTCAGTGGGAGAACATTTCCTTACAGGATTAGCCACAGCTGCCTGCTAAGTTCCCCACACTATCAAGGAAATCACTGTAATCTTGTCAGTGGTGATAAGGCAGTGCCTGAGCTGAAGTTATGGCAGTGAAAGAAGCAAATCTCCCTGATGGTTTGATAGGCCCTGCCTGGCTCCAAGGATGATGGACACAGGATTGCAGAAGGCTGCACTGATAATTTTGTCTTCAGTTCAGTTCTTCAGCCCTTGCCTCAAGGCCACAAAGTCAGTAGAAGAGGAGAGGTTTGACCTGAAGTTCTTGGCCAGGTACAACTGAGGCCAAAAGCAAAGACATTCCACATTACCCTATTCAGGACTTTATCTGCTGACTCTGCCAATCAAGGAATTAATTAGTTCCCCCTACAGTAATTTATTTTCATGCATACATTTCCCCACTGGGGCTCAGCTAAAAGCACATACATTACTTTAATTCAAGCCATTACACATAAAAGATTATGGAAAGCCTTACTACCAAACATTCAAGAAAAATCCCTGAATCTACACATTTTACTAATAAGGCACAGACCTAAATAAGTTCTAAGCAAAGAGAGCACCTTGAAATGATGCTTAGAAGATAAACAATACTTGAAAGGTAATATTTAGGTCTAAGCTTCATTGACAGAAATTTTCTTACAAAGGCTAAAGCTGACTTCTAGACTTCCTGCAATGAAAAGCTGACTCAAAATTATTGGAAATTGGCATTATTTTTAGCAATATCTGAAATGGGTGTCACATTCAAAAGCCTTACCTCATGAACTGACTTCATATTTCTTTGATACTAAAGGCGTCAGTGGCAATAAAAGTCATGAAGTTAATAATAAAAACTTTCTCAATCACATCAGTGGCTGGCAGCCTGTAGAGGAGCAGGTGAGATTAAGAGAATCTCTGGCTATAGAGGTCTTTGCAGGAAAAGCCAAATTAAAACCTTTTTTTCCCTCATGGAGTTCAGTTGACATAAGCTCCATCCCAGCATGGTGAGGCATGAACTCTCCAAATTACATCTCTCCTTGTGTCTTCCTTTTTTCTTTATTTAAAGGTGATTTAAGAACTATCCATACAGACTCTAATCATAGAAACCTAGTTTCTCTTCTATAGACTAAGAGACAAAACCAAGGGCTTGGCTCACAATCCCCAAGGATTAGTTACAGTTGTTCCCTTGCCCTGGCTATGGCTCTGCTGAGGACATAAATAAGCAGTGATGCTTTAATCATTACAAGTGACATGCACAACCACCAAATACAGAAGATTTTGGCATTTTCTTCATTCATGTTATCAGTTTACAGAAGATCACAGAGCTACAATATTTGCTGCATAGAGAGGTTGCAGCTTCTCCATCCCTGGAAGTGTTTAAGGCCAAGCTGGAATATCCTGCTCTAGTGGAAGGCATCCCTGCCCATGGCAGGAGGTTGGAACTGGATGATCTTAAAGATCTTTTCCAACCCAAACCATGCTATGATTCCATGAATATGGCACCAAAATGATTAAACTAGGAACATGTGATATTCAAAGTATGATCACTGGCCTAAAATAGACTCTAAGGAATACAAATATACACAGCTAGGGATGCACCCCAAGCCTGATTTATACACAACCAAAGACATGGGCCATCTGCAGACCTAGATAAATTAATTGAGAAGCTGTGACAGGACCATATGATGATGATGTGTTGTTTGTAACACATTACTCTGGACTTCAGCTACACCATGCCAGGAATTAGCTACAGTTATGGTTTCCCATAGCAACAGGATATATGGGACAAACTGCTCAGGAAAACCCAGCAGAACAGGAGCTGCA